AGAGAGAGAGAGAGAGAGAGAGAGAGAGAGAGAGAGAGAGAGAGAGAGAGAGAGAGAGCGAGAGAGAGAGAGAGAGAGAGAGAGAGAGAGAGAGAGAGAGAGAGAGAGAGAGCGAGAGAGAGAGAGAGGAGAGAGAGAGAGAGAGAGAGAGAGAGAGAGAGAGAGAGAGGAGAGGGAGAGAGAGAGAGAGAAAGCGAGAGAGAGAGGAGGAGAGAGAGAGAGAGAGAGAGAGAAAGAAAGTGAGAGAGAGAGACAAAAAAGAAAGAGAGAAAGAGACATACAGACATACAGAGAAAGAGAGAATTAGAAAACAATAACCAACAAATAAAGAAAAATAGAAACCAAAAAAACAAACAAGAAAACAATACCAAAAACAACAAAAACAACAACGAAAAACAAAACAAACACAAAAGAAAACCAAAGAACAAACCCCTTTTTTACCCCCCCTCCCCTCCCTCCACCCCCACCCTACCCCTACCCCCAAATCCCACCCTACGTCGACCTCCCAGGGGAATCGATCATTATGGGAAAGAACGAACAATTAAGAATTCCGAAGAAAATGATTACGAAGTTTCAATCGCCTTTCGATGCTTCGTTAGATTTCGTTCTCCCCGAATTGTTTCCTTGAGGTTTTCCCGCGAGCGAAAAATGTTCTCCGGTTCTGCAGCGGTTTTTTTATTTTTTTGTTCATTGATTAGAAATGAAGGTGTGGGTTTATCTATCTATCTATCTGTCTATCGATTAGTCTTTCTTTCTATTGGTCTGTCTATCTATCTATCTATCTATCTAATTATCTATCTGTCTATATATAACTATTTACCTATTTATCTATCGAGTAGTCAATCAATTTATCTATATATTAATCTATCTGACTTCCTTTCTATCTATCTATCTGTCTATCTATCTATCTTTCTATCAACCTACTTCCCTACACCTCAACACATCAATCTATCTATATATGTACCGTATGTATGTATAATATATGTATAAACACATATATTATGCACATATACATGCATATATGTTGCATTTAAAAGTGCAATGATTACTTTTCTTAGAATAAACATAATTCATAACACTATCTATTTTTTCATCATCGCTTCCAACCGGTTATGATACTTTTCAGATTTTATTTTTCATCATGATGTTTGTCGTATTACTGTTATTATCATTAATTACCTATCTATCAATCTATCTATCTATATATATATATTATATCTATATATCTATATCTCTCTCTCTATCTCTCTCTCTATCTATCTATCTATCTATATGTATATATATATACATACACACACATAATGAGTGTGTTTGTGTGTGTGTGAATAGATAAAAAGACACAGATTATGCCCTGCATTTATGCGTCTACATCAAAGGCAAGTGACTGGAATATGATACTTCAAAATTCGCCCTTTAATAACTTTTTCGTCCCATTTTGCGCAAAACATGATCTCGGGTCAAAAAGGGAAGAAAAATGTACAGGAAAAACGCAAAAGATAGGAGAAAATGCTGGTCACGTTTCCCATTAAAATCTATCTTATCTCCTTTGACGAAATGTAAAAGCATGAAGACGAAGAAAAGAGAGGAAAAAATGAAGAGAAAAACTGAAAATGAATATCACGTGTCAAGGTATAGTGCAGTATGGTGCGTGTGTCACAGTCTAGTGCTTATAAGGTGATATGGTGGTGTCTGTGTCATTATATTGCCGTGCCTTGTGGTATAGTGAAAAGTGTGTGTGAAGTAATATCGAATAATGTATAGTGTGGTGTACTGTGCTTGTGCTGAATGGTATAGTCTGGTGATGCTTGTATAGTGAAATGTGTGTCATACTTTAGTGTCTTATAGTGTGGCGTGAGAATGATCGCATCATCATCTGAACATATAGTGTAGTTTAGTGAAACTTGTTTGTGTCACAGTATAGTGTTATGGTATGGTATGAAATTAACTAAACATTCTAGGTCATGTACCGTAGTATAGTGACGTGTATGTTTTTTTATAGTATCATCTATCATGATATCTTTGTAATATTGTGAACCGTACGTTGTACAGTATTGTATTGTTTAGTATACAATGGTGGTGCTTTTATTCCACATAATCATATGATGTATAATATTAAGTGTGTACATCCTCGTACAGTTTAATATGGTGCAGCATAGTCTAATATGTACGTATCACAGAGTGTAATACTATACCATGGTACAGTTAAGTATGGGGAAATTTTCAAGTTTCATATATCTTTAAGTATAACAAAGTACAGCGAAGCATATCAAAACATTTGAAGTCAAGAGTATGATATAGCATTCCTAGATATATTGCAATACCTACAAGTACATCCATGCCAAAATAAGTAATGATATACAATGAAATGCAGTGAAGTGAATCAAGATCACAGCCCACACTAAGGTGCTGTGGTAGCGTATCATAGTTCAGAATAGAAGACGAATTCCCTCAGCAAGGAAGGGTTTTCCGAGACGGGATCCTGACTGCTTGCCGGCGCACCTTTAACGCTCGGCCGCCCGTCGGGGGTTGAAGGGACAGGGCTGTTTGGATAAGAATGCGATATTTATATATATATATATATATATATATATATATATATATATATATATATATATATATATGTGTGTGTGTGT